CCTATGGATTTTATTTTAAGGCGAGTAAAAAAAGAGGAAAAAGGTCAGTGTCGTGTTATTTGGTGAATTTAAACATACTGGAAAATGATATAAGTAACTGACATTTGATTTATTTAAATAAGTTGCACCTGCTCTTGATTGGCAAAGTGAAATATGTCAGATAAAGTTGGGTATACAGCAACTCATTTTCAGTTATTGTTATTGTTAAATTATTTGTACCTCTTTTCAGTCACAGAGCACTTTATTTTGAGAATTAAGTGAGAGAAGTTCCTGTGACTTAGTGCAGTTTCAGAAGGAAATTGTAAAGTTTCTTAATTTCTTTTATTATGAAAGTAAAATTTTGCATTTAAGAAAAGCTGATTTTTGTTTGTATATCCTGTCAATTATAGTTCTTGGAAAGAAAGTTGGAATCAGCAAAAATCAGTATTGGCACGTCACACTTGCAGAAAAATCAGAAAACCAAGTCGGCCAAGAAATTTGCAATCGATGCATCTCTAATTAGCACCTGTCTAGTTAATTAATAGACTTGAACCATGTGTGAAACGGCCAAGTGGTGTAACTGCCCCCCCTGTACATCTGCTTCTGTCCCTCCCAGGTTGGCCAGGTTGCATACTCTGCCTCCAAGGGAGCAATTGTTGGCATGACTCTCCCCATCGCGCGAGACCTTGCACCCATGGGCATCCGTGTGGTCACCATTGCACCTGGTCAGTCTGCGCAGCCGAATGCGGCTGCTAACCTCATGATACCTGCTCAGCTTAAATCACTGCTGTGTTGAGCAATGACTTCATGTCTGTCTGGGGGGGATTTTCCCCTGGTTGGCAGCGGTGCTCTGTCTTTTCCCCACACAGATCATGCCATTAGCTCCTGTTATGTCTCATTCTGACTCTTTCCGTTTGTAATGTTTCTGCTAAATCTGCTAAATGTAGACGTACAAGTTAAAAAGTGAAACACCACTTTTTGTTTGGAAAGGAGATGAATAAAATGCATGGGGCCGGATTGTCTGTCCATCAATGGGGTAACTGGTAAGGGGTAAATGTCACACAGTACTTTTAATTAGGAGAATTAAATTTAGTAGAAGTGATGTACGAAGCAGGCGGATTACAAGCATACAGCTGTCTGAAGCCTTACCAGGCATGTGAATGCCCTTTAAAAGTAAGTAGTATGAGCAAGAGCTTACATGACACCTTCCAAACATAGCAAAAACGTGCTGAGGCAGCTATTTAAATCAAAGGATGAAGTGTAAAACTAGGAATTCAGGCAGTAGGGCTGCTTGAGGTGTTCCTTGAACAGGTTCCTCTTGGGGCATTGCTTGGAGGTTGAGGAAATATGATGACCAGTTCTGGATTGGTTGCTCGTTCCACCACTGGGAGACCACTCCCGAGAAACATGCACAGCGCTGATTTCGTTGTAACCTTCCATAATCATCTTTTGCAGGTCTTTTCTCCACCCCCCTGTTGGCTGGGCTGCCTGAGAAGGTGCAGAGTTTCCTGGCCCGCCAGGTGCCCTTCCCCTCGCGGTTGGGTGATCCCACAGAGTACGCCCATCTGGTGACCTCACTGGCCGAGAATCCCATGATCAACGGGGAGGTGATTCGTCTGGATGGAGCCCTTCGTATGCAGCCATAAAGACTTGAGGAACTTCTCGATGGGGATTACAGTTCTTTGGTCAACCAACAAGCAAGAACGTATGATGGCCAGGACTACTGGTTCTCACAGAATTGTGGATATCATAAAAGCAGTAAAGCTTTGAAAAATGTCCTGCAAATGCTAGTAGTGTAATTTTCAATTTCTGGCATGTGTATATAATTGAGTTCCTAAGGTGTGGGAATTAAAAATGATGTCATGGAATGATGATAATGATGTACTGTACATGAGCAGATAAGCTAAATTAAAATAAACTTTGTTGAGTCCTTCAAAAACTCAAAAAGAGGATCTCGACAGCTGCAAGGTTAGCAGAAGAAGGTCTGACTGTTCCAGAAAGACTGATTTTAAAACAGAAATTTCTGGTAATTTGTGTACATACCGATCATCTCTCTGAGGCTCACAGATCAGTAATTCCTGTCTCACACAAAATATCTCATTTGTATTTCTGGTGTTAAAGAAAAATAACTGATAGAAAAACTTCTGGCTCAATATCCTGTCCTGCTTTCAGCTTCATCACATGCGGCAACTTTTGTCTCCTAGTGAATTAAAATGTAAAATTCCTTAGTAATTTTAAACTAACAGATGGATTTTCACCTTGTCTGTATAGCCTGAAGGCCATGTTTTTCTTATCCTGGATTTACCTTGTATGAGTGAATGAGAAATGGGAAAAAATGAATGAAAATCGATCCTTATTTTGCTCCTTTTTGTTTCATGTCTAGACAATGTCAGGTTTATTGTGCATTAGAGTCCACTAGGGGGCGATGTCCTTCCTGCTGAGCCAAATGGCCAATAATTTTCATTTCATTGGCATATGGCCTACAAGGACCTGAGTTTGACATTAGTGATAATTGGTTTACTCAAGCTTGAAACTACTCTGTGTGGGTGTCTGTGAATGGCTATCCCCTGGCAAGACTGGCATCTTGTCCACGGTGATCCTCTGCTCATCATGTCTCTCCTTAGATTCCTCAGGTTTAGTTAACAGGAAATTCACACGGATCAGTCAAAAGCTTTTTTCCTTTTGTGTCACGGCAGCTTATACTTACTGTGAGAGGGTCACATTTCACCAGCTGCCTTTTTGTTTCAAAATGCAGTCGACTATGTTTAGTGCCAGTTGCCGGTGTTCCTTCTGTTTCGTTTTGTAGTCTGTGTTAGGCGTTTTGTTCCTGGAGTGACCTCGGGGGATCTTTCTTGCATAGGACCTTCCGATCCCAGAGATGAAGGAACCTCCTTTAGGTCTCAGCATCTATTAAGTGGAGGTCAAAGAAGTTAAAATGGGTTTTATTGCTGTCTATACCAGTCTGCTCCTTGCTTTACCTTCCATCCACACCTCAGCCTTTATTTATATATAATTTCTCTTAGATGTTTCCCTTCTGGTTTATACGTCCATTCCTTTGTTTTCAGCTCCTATCATCATGTTTTGATTTTCAGCTTCCTGTCACTTTACCTCAAATTAATATTTAATCGAATCCATTCCAGAACATCCTTCCATAGATCCCTGCTGAGTCATTCTTACTGTAACTGAACTGGTGGGAGAGAGAAGATTTTGTTTGTTTTGTTTAGCTGTGCTGGAGGGACATGTGTCCCAACAAGAACATGCCAGGACAACCCCACAAAGACTGATTTGTGGAATATTCTGTGTAATAAATTGGAAATCCTTATGTTGTTTAGAAGGCACTGAAAAATCCCAAGAAGGACAGCAATACAGGGGGGTGGTAAATGAGGATGGGAGAGAGATTTCAATTTTGTTGTCTGTTGATGACCAAGAGGGAAAGGAGTCAGACAGAAGGGAAGATAATGTGATGTGTGTGTCTGTCGAAATTGAATTGCTCTTCTGTGGAAAGAGGACGGATAATAGGTCTCCAATCTGTACACAAGCCTGTTTCATTTAAAGTAGGCGGTCCTATTTACTAATGACTGGCAGGTCCTGATCCATACGCCATGAATGTCCCATCCTGGGGCCAGGTGGTTGGAGTGATATTTTCCAGGTACGGTTCCCATCCCAAACGTAGCCTGTCTCCTGCCCCGGGGTTCATTAACATTCACTACGATCACGACTGCAGAAGTGTTTGCTGGAAGTGGATGATGAATAGTTCATATACTTGTGGCCCAACATGCTAAAGTGTTCTGCTGGCTGCTGGGCCTCCATCCAAAGTCATTTATTTAACTGGCATAAATATGGAAGAATCCAATTTTGTAAGGTTGCCCAAATGTACAGTTTTTCACAAAGCCAGTCCCATTCTGGCCCAGTGCACTGGCACGGAAGTCGTCATTGTGTTCACTCCTTGGTCCCAGTCTGCTGTGTTCTAGACGTAGTTCGTCAGTGTTTATAACCAGCTGTCATGTGCAGGGATGCCAGGCTGAGCTTGATTTATGCACCAGCCTTGAGACTATTGATGGAGGAAATGAAACTTAAAAATCCACAGTGGGTTTGTGGGCTGGTTTAAACCAATACAGTAAATTAGTTTGATTGACAAATGCCGCACCCACCATAAGAGGCATGGTTTCAGGCTGCTGCCCCCATCCTGGGACACCCTTACTCTGTTTTTGGTGTGTGGCCCAGTCTGGTATTCTCGTTCACCACAGGGCAGAGGAAGACCATCTTCAACTCCATATAAACACCCCAGCTGTTAGTGTACAATGGAGGAAAAGAGGATTGCAACAGAAGATGCTCCTGCCCCTATAGTGCAACATATGCCAACCATTAACTTTATTCCTGTTTGTTCCCCTTTATTCCTCTTTGAGATATTCATGCAAAAGAAGCAACATTTCAGAAAATACAGGGAAGGTACAATAATTGCATTTAAAGTAGACATTGAGTTATAGAGTTATCTGTGTGTTCTGCTTGTAATTTAAGCATTAATTCCCCTTACATTTGCCATGGAGTGCTCTGCAAATATTGGTAATTAGCCTATGTACAATAGACATAATTCGTCTGCAAATGAGAGAAAAGTATAGCTGTTCTCTATCCGAATGAGTAGATAACTTGTTTGGATGAAGCTCTCTTCCTTAGGGATTACACATCTAGAGACTCACAGACAGGCTAAGCCCATTAAAGACAATCATTCTTGGAGAATAAAATGAATGCAGAGTCTGCCTCCGAAGGGTCCAAGATTCAATGAGGGCGTTGAAAAGGCTTGAAACGGGGCTTATCTGTTATAATTGAGGAGCAGCAGCATCACCGGAGAGAGGTGTAAATGAAAGTGAGGGGGGTGGGGGCTGGGTGGAGGAATAGGAGAAAGAAGAGGAGGCATTGGGAGGGGCCGAGAAGTAGTAACAGGATTGACTGTAATGCTGAGAGGGAGAGAGGGTGATGTCATCCCTACCAAACAGCCAATCAGGGAGAGGGAGGGAGTGAGAGGACCAAGAGAAAAGGGCGTGTTTCTGGTATCACTGCAGCAGCAGTATAGAACAGTACGCAGAATCTATTTATTGAACAGGAAAAAAGAAAGGTGGGGAAAAAACACAAACCGGGCAAAGGAGCTGATCACTGGTCCTCATTTCAGCTGCAAGGTAAGACCAGGTTTGGGGCATCACCTTTGCCATCTCATGCTGTGTTCTGCCAGGGCTGACAGTCTGAGTGGCAGGATTTAATCTGCAAAAATAAAGGCTGCATTTATAGTTGCAGCAGTGATGAAAATATCACATAATGATATGTGTTGTAACTGTAGTTGTAGGAGACCGGCAGGCTCGGGCATTTTTGAATCAGTTCATTTTCTCTTCATTTATTATCATTTTCCTCACATGAGGGGTTTTAGGTCTGCCGCGTGTGTACGGCACCTGCTCCGAGCGTGGAGAGAGGAGTGCATGCAGCAGAGATCTGAGCATCTGTGAGGCAGCCGTGTAGGAAATTGTGCTGTGTGGCATTTTATGATCTATTGCCCTGCACAGCTTTGAATAGCTCACTCTACCTTTATAAGCTAATGTTTGCCCATCTTTTATACAGTATGAGCATAATAGTCTTAGCAGCCGTGGTACCAGTTGCGTGTCCATGTATGTATTTCTGTGTGCACGTGTTTACATTTGACTTTTAAGGGGCCGTTGTGTTACACACGCCCCTTCCTTCGGACTTACCGTATCACCCACATTGTCAGGCATCCCCTTTTTCCTGCTTTGCCCGACACATGTTTTGGTTCTTCTTCTACCCCTGTGTACCCTCTGCCCCTCATCCTCCGCCCCACATGCTGTCTTTCCCTCACATCTCATTATGCGGCTCCCTCATATAACAGAATGAAAGCAAACACAGATACGACGGTGGTGAACATCTACGGCGGTGCAGCTCAGCGATAGGTTTAGCATGCTGCAGTAGCATCTACAGCCTCCACACATGCATTTAAAGCGCTCTCTCACGGTGACTTGTCCATGGCTTTTATTTGAAGCGACTTCCATTTCATTGACGCTTCCTGTTGAGGGAGAGCTTTCCCGGAATCACAGCAGCCACCCCTGGGTTCGCATTTTCACCTTAGAAATTCTGGACTGCAAGCAGATGCTGCCGTAAAATGTAATGAGAAACAATGGAAAACGGGGATTGACTGGATGGAAGGGGAGCAGAATGCTGCCGGTGTTGGTTTGGTGAGAAGGGGAGGTGGTTCACATGTGCACTTAGCATTAAGCCGGTAAAACAGCAGCGCTGGGGGTGCTGAGCACTGAGCAGCACCACTGATCCGCTGAGGATAGAGTCTGGATGCTGCCGGCTGCTGCCTGGATACCGCTTGGATACGGCCCGGTTGCTCCCTAGACAGCACCTGGATGCCAGGCCTCCCTTCCCCGGGGTGTGTGACTCTGTCCCTCCCCAGGGAGCGCTCGTTCTCCGGGCTGTACTCTGTGCCGGAGCAGCAGCGAGCGGTTAGGCGTGGCACACGCTCTAAGGTGGGGGGTGGGGCAGGGGCGGGGGTGCGGGGGTGGGGCAGCGCTCTGAGGCTCGCGGCTCCGTAGCCCTGTGTGTGAGCGAACGTGGATAACGAGGGCTGACTTTGGGATAGCACAGAATCTTTTGTGTCCATTTTTTCTACTGTAGTTATTAAAAATGTATATAACAATGAATAATTTATCCAAATACAAAATTCTTACAACACACATAAAGCACATATGTGAGTCACGCACCCCCCCCATTAGGAAGTGTCCTTCCATTTGGAAAAATGGCACGGGATGGTTTTAAAGCTGCATTGTGTTTGTACTTTTGTTCTGTGCCATGCTGCAGAGTCCAGCATGTCAATAAAGCGCGATTTAACTGGGCCGGGGGAGGGGTTAGGCTGGGTAATGGAGGGGAGGTGAGGGGGGGGGAGGATTACATTTGAAATGCAAAGAGCCACCCTATACCAGCAAAATTATATGTCCCGACTGACACACTGTGGGAGGGAGATGGAGCAAGGTCACCGGAAAGGGGAAGGGGTCGACGAGAGGGGGGGTGTTAGTCGACAGGGGGGTGAGGAGAGTGTTATGGAGCCATGCTTGGCCAGTCACATGGTTATGGGTTGAGGTCATGTGCTTTGTTTTAAAATAAGACATTAAGTTCCTAAGTACTCCTGTCATTCTGTGAGTCTGAAAGTAAAGGTTATTATTAAGGGGGCGCAAGTTGTTTTCATCTGCCTGACTTATTTTTACTTATTGTGTTTACCTCTAATTTAATTGCTGCTCATTACCAACCTTAGTCCAGAGAAAAGTAAACACTCCAGAAATAATCATAAAAATGAAACTGATGTTTGTCAGTGATGCTGTACTAGACATGCAGTTTGGTGATGGGTAAATGAATGAATGAGTGGATGGATGAATGGATATTGAATATACAGAATATAAAACAGAATAGAAACTAACAGAAAGTGGGTTTAGAGAATGTGGATTATTAATGTTGAGTGTTTTAATTGTATTAATCAAACTTATATCTTTATTTTGATGTATATTTATTCGATTGGCTCACACCACCAGGGTAATGGGTTTGAATCCCACCTCTGCTCTGTGTGTGGGGTTCTCTGCATATTCTCCCCGTGTGGGAGGGAATTCCCCCTGCATTTGACAGGCATACAGTTAGGCAAACTGGCATCATCGTATTGCCCATAGTGCATGCATGTGTGTGCCCTGCAATGGGCTGGCATCCAGTACAATGAGCACTGCAGCTTTGCACCATATGCGGCCTGGGAGAGAGTCCAGACTCCCCTGCAACCTGACCAGAGTCAGCAGTTAGAAGATGGATGAACATAGCTGTTAGTTGAGTAATACTTGTAATCAGTGCAGAAGTAAACAGAACTTGAAGCCAGGCCAGTGGGAATTAATGAGATAGAGGTCGTGTTTGCCGCTTCCCAAATCCTCTTCTAAACCTACAGATACAGCCGGACACATAAACCGCCAGTGTGGATGGAAATGTCAATGACTTCCTGGAGACATCAGCATCTGCCTGTCTGGGGCTTAATGCGCAGCCTTTCGGCTAAAACACCATAATCGCTGGCATGTCCTTTTGAACTGACGTGACAGATCAGCGGCATCAGACGCGTAAGCGTGCCGGGAGATTAGCAGGAAGGCGCTGCCCATGGAAGCAACATAAAGCATGGGGGGGGGGGGAGGTGACTGACTATTAGGGTACCATCTAATGGTTTGAAGTTTAAACTGCAGAGAAGGAACAGAAAGGACAGAGACAGATGATGACACGGAGAAGAGAGATTTTATCAGTCAGTCTCCTTTGTTTGCGGCTAATTTCCCCTCCCTCCTTTTGGGGAATAGCCAGGTTTCCCATCTTTCACTGTGGTTCTTCCCCGTTCCCTGACAGAATGGGGTCCTTGTGTTGCAGTGGAAGGAATTCACCCTCTTCTCATTTTTAGCTGCACTTGTCAAAACAATAGGAGGCCAGCCCTGTTAATGCACTTAGACCCTATTTGCCCGCTGTGTGTCTGGATTCCGGATGGACGCAGCACAGTATAAGGTTTTGTTTCCCTTGCCAATCTTTCGGTACAGTGTGGGCCTTTTCGCTGTCTGCTCCTGTGTGGCTCAGTATCGTACATCTTACTATCGCTGCTGTGCGCTGTGGGCTTTGCTGCGGCGTGCTTTGGGTGTGGCAGCTGTGATGTATGAGTTACTTATTAAATTGGGGCAGTGGGCGGCATTCTGCATTCTAATGAGCGGGTGCATGTTCTCCTGACATTTTTAATCTGATCTCACTCAACTATCCTGTTATGGGGCAAGAGAGGAGGAGGCCAGGGAAGCGTTCAGGCCTGCGAGCGAGCTCTGTGCCGCGCGTCGCGTTCAGGCCTGCGAGCGAGCTCTGTGCCGCGCGCCGCGTTCAGGCCTGCGAGCGAGCTCTGTGCCGCGCGTCGCGTTCAGGCCTGCGAGCGAGCTCTGTGCCGCGCGCCGCGTTCAGGCCTGCGAGCGAGCTCTGTGCCGCGCGTCGCGTTCAGGCCTGCGAGCGAGCTCTGTGCCGCACGCTGCCGGCCCGCCTTCTGCTCAGAGACCGCAGGTACCCTGGGCAGAAGGTGCACCTGGGTGTCGGCTTCCTCCAGGGCTGCTCAGCGCATTACAGTGATCAGCTGCAATGCAGCATTTTCACTGTCACAAACTTGGAACCCGTCAGTGCTGAAGACGGGATTTACAGCCCCTGCTTAATTCGTTCTTCATTCTGCCTGAGCGAGTCCGTGTAGAAAAGCAGCACAATAACATAACAGTGGAGTCCATCAGGTGCAAAAAACATACAGCTGCTGAGGCAGATTTCATAATTGCAAATTTTATGGATTTCATGAATGTTATTCCAGTCGGACAGTAATGCTCTTGCCTTGTGGCTATTGGGCTGGGTCTGTGTTATGACTATGTTAAGATATGTGTTTTATATGAGTGCCTGCTCGTGTGAATACATATTTATCTCACAGTAGTAGATTACTAGACATATGTCACGTCTGTGTTACAGCAGAACACAGTTTTGAAATATTTCCAGGATTTTATGGATCATTTGGGCTTGAATCTGGGGATGGAATAGAGATGAGATTCTGTCTCTCAGTGGCATGACATTGAGGGGGCTGGAGTTTGTGTCTGGCTGAACGCGACATTTTAGGCTGCGGAGCTGCTGGTGGTGCTGTTTGTGAGCGGAAGGCGTGTCTCTCCAGCATGTGGCCTCTCAGAGACCAGCATCTCAGCCAAGCTTCTCCCCATGGATGTATTTAGATGATGCAGTCTGTTTTCTGACATTTTTCCAAGTTCTGCTGAAGAGGTAAAAAAAAAAAAAAAAACAACACATCATGAAAACATCTAAGTGCTGAACAGTTATATAAATACAGCTTCAGTTCAGTTCAAATTTGAATGATATTTCTCAAAAATTCAAATATATATTTTAGGTAACGGTGGACGGAAAAGGATGGGGGGTTGATGCCAAAAAGAGCTGTGAGAACAGAAGATTCAGGCATTTTACACCTAGCTCTGAGTACCAGGCCCTCCCCTGACTATTAAGCTGATTCTCGTTTCATAAATAGATTGATGTTTCCAGTTGGCGACCATTTGTGCCTCTTCAATGTGCTGTGTCCAGTTTGCAATAACAG